CCCCAAAACCCCAAAACCCCTTAAGGAATAGTCAAGTCGATTTAAAAAAATGAGTACCTTAAATAAGATAAAAATAATATCATTAAAATTAATTTAATATACTGTATATCAAATGAGAGTGTTCAATAAATAAAATGTAACCTTTTTAAATTATAATTTCTCTATAGCTCTAATGCCTCAAATATTAAATACAGAAAATAGCCTAGCTAAATCTGATTCACGCTTTAAATACTTTACCAAACAATTCATAAGGCCACTCGATATCTATGCAAAACCGATATCCTTAACTTTAAAAGGAAAGGAGAAATTCTGATCAACTTTTGGAGGTTTTATCTCATTGATAGTTCTAACATTGTTCATAAGTATGATAGCATACAAATTAGATAAGATGATCTTTAGAAAGGAAACCCAAATTAAAAAGAATAGTCTCATCAATGCTTCTAATTAGCACTAGTCCCCTGAAAATCTTTCACTTAAAAACATAACTATTGCCTGGATGATATCTGATTTTATAGTCTCAGATTAATATGAAAACAAATCTCATGGAGAGATGAAACTTAAGTAATGGTTTGTAAAAACAAAAATTAACGCAACAACTGGTGTATCTTACAAGGAATTCAGTGAATACTTTATTCCGTATTCCAAATGTGAACTGAACAAAAACTTTTTCTATAACAATCACGTTGATATCGAGTTGTATGGTTTGGAGAAATTCAACTGCCCTGACTATAATAATTTGACAATTTAAGGAAGCTGGTTCTCACCTGAATACACAGCCATTTAACTTATATTTTAAAGATGTGAAGGGGGTTTTGAGAACAACTGCTCATCTGATGAAGATTTCAAAATGTGGCTTTCTAAGATTTTCATTGAATAGCTTATAATCAACACTTACTTTGATCCTGATGACTATGAAAATCCGATCCACTATTTCTTAGAGGAGACCTATATATCCTTTTAATACGGAAGAAGTGTTCTGACAAATTTGTTCTTTAAGAAGAATGAGATCAGGTTGTTTGATGATTATTTCGGGATGTTCCCAAATACTAAAGTTGATTATCACTATTAAAAGTCAAAGATGGAATATCAAACAGCAGATGTGAATGAAGGTCCAGGCTAGGGTATCCTATATCTATAGGAGATAAAGATTGACTAAGAATATGATATCTATGAAAGACATGTATACTCCTTTTAAAATCTGCTCTAAGATATTGGTGGATTCTTTAATTCTTTGTATTTTTGTGGACTGATTTTTTATTCTTAGATTAGAAACTCTATATTTTACACTGAGCTTATATCTAGATTGTATCAGGTCGAACCAATGTGAGAAAAGCCTATTAGTGAGGGAGAAAATGAAGAGGAATCTATGGATTATTCAAATAGATTTGTGAATTTGAAGACTAAAACTTTTACAAATTTTTCTAGCAGAAGATTGCAGCATAGAGACATTACTTAATCAGAAGCATCAAGTTATTTTGTAAAAGAACTTAGGAGATTTGGGAATAAATTAAACATGACTTTGATTAGAGGATTGCTCACAAATTTAAGGAATAGATGGAGATTAAAGTATAAATGCTGCGATATCTTCCAAGTCTCATTCAAAGGTCTTTAAAATTGTCTAGTTTGCAAAGAATTTTAGAGTAATAGATCGAAGCTATTGAATGAATTAAAGTCTTAAGTTTTTGAAAAAGGTTAAGCTCGAGTGATAGAAGAACTTGACTGTATCAATCTGCTATCTAGGATGAGATAATTTGATTTGCTTTTGTCTTTGCTATTAGATGATAGATAAAAATACATGATTAATTTTTAGAAAAATAATGTAATTTAGTAAGATAATGATTCTTCTGATGGTGATTATGAAAGTAAAAAATGTCATAAGTTGATAAATTATTATAATGGCAATCAGATCGCATAAAATAGTAAATCCTCTATAGATAAATTAAGGAAACTTTTTGATTTTTATTCTGATAGAAAGCTTGATCTGCTTGATTAAAAAGTTATTTTAGGATTGATTACTAAAAATCCCAATAAAATTATTGATAGACAGGCATCATTCAAGGGACTTATTAACGCTAAGACTAAGAAAACAAAGGAATTGCCCTAAGTTTCTAGTGAAGACTCTAGAAAGCACATTTCAAATTGGTAGTTCTCTGATTTATCTAACTATTAGAAGAATTAAATGCTAAATAAATTAGATCCGGAGTTGGCTGATAATGAATTAGCCCATAAGTTGCATAGTTAGAGAAGGGAAAAGCGAAATTAAAAACACTTAAAACTAAATATATCAAGCTTTAATATCATAGAGTCATGTGAAAGCAATAAAAATCTCATTTAAAAGTTAAAACTTGATAGCATTTGTGATGAAAACAAAATAGATGTGATGGACTAATCATATCCTAATCTATTAAACACATGATATTTCTAGAGTCTATAAAAGATTCGATTTTTTAATTTCAACAATATTTACGATTAAATTTTGAATATGATTTTTATTGATGGGGTTTTGGGGTTTTGGGG